TTCCCTCCTTGAATGATGGTAAAGGTGGTGCCTTGGGTTTTGACTGTGCGCACCCCTGGCTGGCTTTCCCCATTCATAGACCGCAGGTCCTACATGACAGTAACAGCAAGAATAAGCAGCAGCAGCTCCCAATTATAATGCAAGAGCTATGTGTATTAACCACTTTAATCCTGGGCCTTTCAGGTAGGCACAGTCACTGTTCTCATCTCAGAGATTTAAAAAAACAAAACAAAACAAAAACTGAGGCCAAAGAGAGGCCCATAAACCTGATCAGGACCAGACAACTAAAGAAAAGCCGAGCCAAAATTGATGCCTGAGTGTGCCCTCTACCTTCTGATGCTCTAATCCATAGCAATCCACATATCATTTCTTAAAAATGCAATGGCTCATTAAAATGGACAGCATTAAAAGAATCACTATCTCAACTCCTGCTGTTTTTCTTCATCACTTGATTGAAGTCTAAATTTATCATATCTTTGGAATAGGAAAAATTGGGGTCTTGCACCCAGTTTCTGGATGTAGAGAAGGATGATGCTTCCCCTTTGCCTCTTCATGCACATCTGTGTTGCTTTGGGGGTTTTCCCCACTCAAGCACCCTGCTTTCTGTGCAGTATTTGGCCCTCATTTGACCTTGCATTTTCCACTCATCACAGTACTCTCCCAGAAACGGCTTCCTCAGGAAATATTGCCCTTTGTTCTCTGAATCACTGAAGAAATTTGGACATAATTGGAATATACGGTGGTTTCTCTCCAAATCTAGGCCACCAAGTGGATAGGTGAAAATCATCCTTGTAAGTCTTATCCTTAGCTGATTGGAATCTGCCTTTTTGCTATGTGGTAGGTGATTTCAGGAAATAAAATCCCACTTGTTTCATTCATTAAATATGCATTTAAAATCAAAGTCGTATACACATGTACTTTAAAATTCAAACAATTCAGAAGGGCTTATCCCTCCTTCCCACCCCTAGGTGATGTGCATAGTGGGGACTCAGGAAATATTTCTTGATTACCCCTTTAACATTTCTATTTATCTTTTTGGAAACCAGCTTGTACAGAGATATGAGCTTTTTCTCATTTATTTCATTTAATATTTCCTTGTGAATTGTGGTGGTTACTGTCAGGTGGGGAATAGGACAGAGAATAATTAAATACAGTTTCCCATCTTGAAATAGTCTCTTGAAATAGGAGTTGAGGGACTGGGCATTAAAACAGACATTTATAATGCCAGAAAGAAAGGAGTACTGGCAAACTAGAAGTACAAGTGAGCATTTGGGAGTCCAGGGGAAACTACAGCTGGGGCTTACGTGACAGTTGAGAGGGGAGGGAGGGAGGGAGGGTGCAGCATTTCAGCCAAAGAAGGAAAGCAGGGAAGAAATAGGCAAGTTCTTGTAGGTGGAGAAATTTCTTCCTGGCAAAGAGTTTGCTGGAGCTTAGACCAGCAAGAGCTAGAAACTCTGTGGCCTTCATCCTACACAGACTGAGGCAAGCTGTATTTCAATGAACCTTAATTTGTTCATTCATACGATGGGGAAAATAATAGTACTGGTCAGAATTGCATGAGATCATACACATAGAGCACTTGGCACAGTGCCTGGAAAATAGTCAGCTCAATCCATCTTAGATGACAATATCCCATCCTCTTTCCCACCTCATCTCCTCCACCCACCCCAGATATTCTTGAATGCACTTTGTTTTCCTTCCAAGTTTAATGTGCAATTGTCTTACCAAGGTCCTCATCTGAATCATGAGATGCTAATGGCATCTGAGAACAACAAGTCCTGGGTTCCAAGAGGTTGTTATGAGGAGTAGATGGTGCATAATTGCTCAGGACAATCAGTCTGGGGCTCCTCAAGCAGGCTTTACAGGACCTTGTTAGAAGCTCTGAGCATCTACACACGTGATATTTGGCAATGGAAGCTGGTTAGGAGGGTGATTTGTGCAGGGGTATTGTCTCCATGGGTTGGCTTCCTTTAATATGCATCTTCTTATTAGAAATGCAGATTCAGCCTCAAATCAAAGTCCCAAGACTGTGTCTCTGTGTGTCAGACAAAGGCTACCCTGCCCCTCTCCATCCCTGAACAGGGAGAGAGGCAATTCTAGGCCTGGAAAGTTCCAAAAAGTAATCTTGTCTAATCAATGATGCAATAAGTGATTCATGGCTTTAACTTCCCCTCTAGGAGCTGTCTAGCATCTGCACACATATCTGCCAGCATACCATCAGTAGCAGGGCTCTTACCACCACTTCAAGCACATCATTCCATTCATGAACAGACCAGACTGAGAGAAATCCTTCCTGCCGAGCTGAAATCTATCCATCTCAGGAAGGGTTAGTGAGACAATCTGTAGACCCTCCTTGTCAGAACCTCCCCATCTCTCACTCAGCCTAGAAGGAGTAATTCCATTATCAAATGGTCAGCCCTGGGGAATGAACTTTTAAAGGCTTAAAGCAAGGTAGGCTAATTAAAATCTTTGATCAAAGCCCCATAAATAGCATAAAACTTCTCTCTCTTAATTATCCTGGATGGTCTCATAAGCATTAAAGCCAAAGGGGAGAAGATGAAGAGTCAGAGAGATGAGGAGCTGGGGAGAGAACATCCCAGAAAGCAATGGCCAGCAGCTGAAAGCTACCCTATTGGTGCTGCCACCATCTTCCCTTGCCAGGAAATACTGGAGAAGCACAGAAACTTATGCTAGATTAGCTGACAATAACCCACTGAACACTTCCTACGGCAGTTGCTTTACCAGATACTAGGTAATAAGAAGAAAGGTGAGATGCTGCCATTATAGAGGGGCCAGGGCCTCACAGGGAGATAAAGAGTGGATGGTGGCAGTATTGAAGCCTAGAAATGGCTGCAGAATCACAGCAAGAGCTCCTAGCCACTCTGAGAAGGTCAAGGCTTCCTGAGTGACCTTGAGCTAGGACATGACTTATGTCTTGGAGTCAGTGAGGTGCCAGTCAAGGTCAAGTGTCAGACAGAATGGGCAGTTTCCAAGTGAAATTCTTTGAACGTCTGGGAAGTTTAGAAAGGTCATCCTGACTACTTTGTGGGGAAAATGAGAAGAGAAGATGGCACCAGGGGGTGAGAATCTTGGGTTGCACACAGTTATTGTCCAGGTGAGAGAAGATACTGCACAATCTCAGGTAATATCAAAAAAGAGGGTGATGGAGAGATATAGATGGATTCAAGAGACTTTTGGGATAAGATTAAAGAGGTCAGGTGATGGCCAACCTTCCTCATTGGATGTCTGGTGGGTGGTGGCCCTCAATGATGGCATTAGAGGAAAACTAGGTTGAGAGCTAATAGAGAATGTGAGTTTATGTTTGAATGAGATAGGTCAGAGATCAAATCACAACCTCACCTCTCCTACCCACCCCAGACTAATACCCTCATTGATTTCTCATCTCTTAGAATACAGTCCAAAAGGCTTAGGATGGCCTTCCAGTGCCTGCTGGACCACCCAGCACTCTCCTAGAAGCCCCATGCTATGCATTCTCTCCTTTGCCAGTTGCTCTCTAGTCATCAGGACTTCTGTCTGAGCCACAAGTGTCCTAAGTTCCTTCCTACCTGAGGGTCTTTGCACATTGTTCTCTGTATCTGCCAGGACCCTTTTTTATCTTCAAATCTTATCCGTTCTTTCTGTCAGCCTCTATCATCTCTTTCATAGAAAAAGTTTCCCTGACCTCATTCTCCCAAGGACTAGAGAACTGAGTTATCAAAGTTTGATAGAAATATCTTGGTTCTTTCCTTCCCAGCCCCACAGTTTAGCTAGATGTGGGTTTAAATCTCCTGTTAACTTCTGATGCCCTGTAGTCTTGAGCAAGCTCAGTCTGAGCCTATTTGTTTGTCTATAGAATGGGGACAGGAGTCTATACAGAAACCACCTGGGATTCCAGTTAGGCTGCAGATTCAGCTTTACTGGCCCTATCCTAACCTTGGTCCAGGTTCTGGTTTAGCAGCTCCTGGAGGGGCCCAAAAATGTGTACTTTTAGCAAACATACCCGGTGCTTCTAAGCATATAGTTCATGGACCAAGATATAAGACACTGTGATGCCCTGACTCACCTGGCAGCAAGTCTCAAGTGTTCAGTAACATGTGATGGCACCAGAGAGCAGCTTCAGGGGCCTTTGCAGCACCCTCTACTCCCCACTCCCTCTGTTCCAAGACTGACGTGTGTGTCAATTGTGAACATGTTATATCCATTGTAATCATAATGTTTGATGTGAAAAAGACATGTTTTTGTACTCTGATATGAAATGCAAATGAGAGCAACCAGAGAAAACTCTGCTTTTTAATTGATTTTCATTGATATACAACCCAGGTACACATCGTGTACTTTCCATGGAATTTCAACTTCAAAGGAATATCCTGGTCTTTCTTTCCAACCAGGTTGTTCCTCTTAAAAGTTTGTGCATAAACTTCAGGAATGATGACGTTGCAATTTCTCCAAGTTCTAGGAAAACAGAGGTAGTTAAAATATATCCCCACTTTTTCCATGTTTGAGGAAATGGCAGATGGCCAAGAACCACCCTTTCCCATAAGACTCAGAAAAGACTTGAGGATGATCCCCTTGTTTAATACAATAAAACCATTCTTTTTCTCACAAGTGACTAGGTGAATTGTTTGTTTTCCTGAAACTATTAAGACACAAAGATAAATATTTCCTGTTCTGCTGAGACTCCCTGAGATTACAAAAACAATCCAACTGTAAAATTGCTCCACCCATAACCTGCTACTCCTTCTTGTAAAAGTCTAAGGTAAAAAAATAATAGTAAAGTAAAAACTCTGATGAGACACTCTGATCTTCAGATCTAGGGTGCTCCCCCTATTGCATCAGTAAAATATATTTCCTTATCATATTTGGTTTTGTCTTTGACAGGTTCCATCATAGTTACTGTCTATATTTTGAGAAGATGATTGATTGCCAAGTTAAGAACAGGAAATAGGGACAAGGTCACATTACGGCTTCCAAATAGATCATTTGCTAATTGTCCAGTGAAGAAGGCTTCTGTAGCCAGGCCCAGGAAGGTGGGAACCAAAGGTCCACAGTCTCTTTAGGCATGTCCATTTCTAAGCACCCAGCAGCTGGAGCAGGTGCTGTCTGTCTGTTCCTTTTGGCAGCCATGCACCAAGGGAGAATCAAAGCTTTTGTGAATTACGACCATCCAGCCCTCATTTGAATCAAGGAGACCAGGTGAGTGATACTCTTCCAGTTATATTCTTTCCTCCACCTCTGCTAAGCTTGTCTCCTTCTCCATAGGTTTGCTCCTTCTAGAAATAACTCAAATGCTCTCTCCTTCAGGTATCCCTCCTGCCTGTTTCCACATCTGAAATCTAAAACCTAAGGAGTGCTCCTTCTCCAGTACTTAGCTCTTCAGCTGTGCTACAGTCTAGCTTTACCGAAGTCAGTTGAGTTGTCAGAAGCAGCACTGTACAGTGGAAATAAGCATGTCTTTAAAATCAGATGTAGGTTGAAATTTTCACTTAACTTTTGGTGCTTTTAGTGTTGATTATGCTCAATTCCCTCTGAGTCCCTTTGCTTGTCTGTAAAATAGAGATATCAGTCTGATAGGAAATAGCTGAAGATCTACTTAGGATGCAGGTTCAGATTCAGTGGTCTGGGGTAAGCTTGATGTTTTGTTTTTCAAACAAGGTCTCATGTGATGCCATAGGTCCTGGTCCTTGTCCTGGACCATAATTTCAGTAGCCAAGTATCATACATTCCATTCCTGTGAGGAATATAGAGAATGTTTGGAGGGACCAAGTTTATATAACCACCCAAATGAACGTGAGACTTTATTAACCCTACTATTATCTCTATCACCAGTGGCTGACATGCAGTAGGTGCTGGAAATAATAGCAGCTAGTTATTGCCTCTGCTACCTGGCAAGTGATTTGAGGGTAGGATATGTGCCTAATTCTCCTTTCAAATCCCTTGCAAATAGAAAGCTAAATTATTCAGTTGTGGAGGGAAAAACCAAGTAATTTCTCTCAAGCTTTAGAGACTGGTCCTGCTCTCCTCTGTTCTGGGTATATATGCCAGAAGTCATGACCAAGGAGGAAGTCCACCCACCACCTGCCCAGCCAGTCCACCTTGTCCTGCAGTAGGAGTGCCAGCTTCCCCCAGAAGCCTCCAGTTCAGATGGAAATGAGCTCTCTGCCTCAGCACATCTGTATATGGAGGGGAACAGTTGGCTTCATAACCCTGAGGGGGGACAAAAGACAAGTAAAGAAGTCTCCAGAGATTTATCAAAGACCACAGGAAGCTGTAAAACATATGTTGTGACATATTGATCCTTGACAAATTCCAGTAGCAGAAGAAGCCTTTTTCCTCCCACACTGGCTAATGAGGACCTGAGGGCAGGGTCCTCTTCTCCCTCCCGCCAGCAAGGCTACACCTGCAGAGTCTCCATCTCCAGCCAGTCATGCCAGCTGAAGCGGATCCACACCAGCTGAGAGCCCCTTCTTCCTCCAATTCCCCTGAAGTGCAAATGTGAAGCCCAGGTGCTGGCAACACTTCACAGTCCCAAACTAGAAGACCAGTTTGTGCCCAAGCCTTTCTATCTTCAAGCGTCAAGAGGTCAGGTAGATTGGCCCAGGAATTGGGGGAAACAGCCTCAGTGTGGAACAGTCTTTTCCTATCCTGGTTGCACATCAGAACTAGCTAGGAGGCTGTAAAACATGCAGTTTTCTGGGTCCCAGCTTCAACAGTTGTGGTGTGCTGCCTGGGCATTCGAATTTTCCAAAGCACTTTTGATAATTTTAATGAACATCCCAGGTGTGAGCCACCTGGCCTAGGGGAAAAAAGTTTTTGCTAAGATTTAACTTTCAAAACTGAACTTGAAAGACCTCTGTATAACAATAAAGTATTTTTGATTTGCAAGAGAAACCGTTTTCTTCGTAAATGCCACAAAAAAGATCAAATCCTGGATGACCAAGATCACAGAGTTGGAAAGAAGTTGGACATGGGATGAGAGCAGTTTTTCCACTTAAAAATAAATTAAATTCTCTTAAGAAAAGAGAGCAAGTAGAAAGGAAATCAAGCAGGGTAGCCAGAAAGGGGTATGTCTTCCCTCCAGATAAGGACAGGAGGAAAAGAAGAGTCTTGATACATCTCCCATCCAGAGCCCTGGCAGCCACCTGGAAGACTAAAGGGATGACATCGACAGTGTAGAAGTGGCAGCAGAGAGGTCTACACAGAGAAAAAGCATAAAGGAGCTGTCCTGAGTGTTTCCACCTCCTTTGCTGTTCCCAAGAGACTTATCCCAAGTATGGAGCCCAAAGCTATTAATGCAGCACCTGTTCCAGCTGGAGTGGAATCTGGACAGCAGGGGGCGCCAGCAGCAGCCCATGGCTCCAGTGCAGAGGCAAATAGAATAGCAAATAGACCAAAAGGGATGGAGGAGGAAGGCTGTGTTCACCTACAAGTCACTGTGCAGGAAGTTACATTGAATCAGCAGTGGGTTTGTTTCTGCTGAGTTGGAAATGGGCAGAATTCAGGAGTGAGTTAAGCTAAGTTATAAAAAATGAAGACAATTACATTTCTGCATATCAAAGTCTTAACTATAAATCTTTTTAAATTTTTATTTTATTGGTACAGTTTAGATATACAATATAATAACATTAATCATTGAAATTTTGCACTTTTACTTTAATCTTAAACCACTGTGAGGGCTGTTCAGAAAAGAAGAAATTTACATGACCAAGGAATAGGAAGAGATGCTCAACCTCAGCAGTAATAAAACACACACACAGACACACACACACACACACACAAATCAAAACCCTAGCAATGCATCATTTGGTTCTATTGGATGAGTGGTGTTTTAAAATCGAATAGTCATTTCAGAGAAGCTAAAGAACCCAGTCTCTGACATACTGGGTTTGAAATACATGTAATCTTTCCAGGGGAAGCTGGGTAATAAGAATCAAAAGAACTATAATAAGTGCACTTTTGATGGAGTAGTTTTCAGAATTTATTTCAAGGAAATAATCAAAAATCAGAGGAAGCTTTGGGAATTGCTTTTATGTATTATGATCCTGAAAAATGAGTGGACAAAACCCATATATCGAGTAATGTGGAACTGGTTGAAAGTATACTACATTATGAAATATTTCATAAATTAAAATGAACTATTAAAATGATTTTGAAATACATTTAATGACTTGAAAAGGTGTTTATGTTATATTGTTAAGTGAAAAAACAGGTGAAAATGTTTACTGATTCCCAATTATCATATACATGTATATTTAGATATAATTCAAATTCATGAAATAATAAAAGGATCTACTACTATGATATTAACAATGATTTTCCTAAGTAACAGCATTATTACCTTAACTATATCTTCTTTTTCTCTTAACTATATTTTCTAATCTTTCTATAGAAGGCGTGCAGTATGTCTGATTTTTAAAAGGTAAAGTTGGCAGATTAAGCAGATGTATTTAGTTCTGCTTTCTCTTAAACCCCACTAAAACAATAGAGTATTTCTTTTAAGAGATAAGTCCATAGATTTTTTTAAAAAAATAAATAAAGGGCACAAGTGCAACAAAAGTTTAGAAGCTAAAGAGCAGTTAGAGGAACAGTTGGAAGGGTTGTAACTATGAAATCTGATTCTCCATGAAGAGTAAGGGAAGCCAAGAACCAACCTGGTTCACATCTCATACCACTTACCACCATTACCATAATCCACTGGAAGTGGAGATTAAAATACAAGGAAAACAAGGCTATGCTTGAGTGTCTCTTTAAGAAGTAGCTAGATCACAAGAATTGAAAGCTTAGTTTATGAAAGGTTTATTCTCCGGAGAAAGAATGAACAGAGGGACTAGAGAACCCCCAGAACACCTGAGAGCAGGGTGGGAGGGTGAGTAAAAGTTTACACCCTCCATATTGAAGCCAAACCCCAGGCCTCTTCCTTCCTTCAGTTCCCAAAATGGCAGGACATGGAAAGATCTTCCCTAGAGCATCTACCAATCCACAGGGAAGAATCCAAAGATACAGACACTGCCATCCTTCAAAGACCCCCCCTACAGTAAAGCCTGTGACTGACAGTTCCATCCACAGGCAGAGCTTCCAATCAGCCTCTATTTTTATTTTTTTTATTATTTTGGTCAATTGAGACAGGGTCTCTCTATATAGTTCAGGTTGGTTTTGAACTCATTATGTAGCCCAGATTGGCTTCGAATGCACTGCAATTCTCATGTCTCAGCTTCCCAAAGCCTGGGATTACAGGTGTGTGTTATCATGTCTGGCCCAATCAGCTTTTAAATAGGAGCTACAACTATGCCCCCTGCTCCCAGACATTTGCTGAAAACTTTAGTGTGGAAGACAGGAACTAAAATAAATAGGAGTAAAAGGCCAACTTGGTTGAAGCGGAGTAGGGGGCACATAGGGGGATTTCAATCACAGTATGCACAATATGGAAGAGAGGATTTTTGTCCAAAAGAGCAGAACAACAAAAACAACAGTAGCTCTTGAAGTTGAAGATGAAGTGGAGACATAACATAGAACCAAAGACAAATCACTGGGAAAAATTGGAAAAAATATATACATTAAAGGACTAGTCCAGAAAGTCTACCATGCAGACAACAAAAGTTTCAGAAAGAAAGAGCCTTTTTCCACTTGAGTGATTGAACTGAAGACTTTCTTAAGTCACTTTCAGCAGTTAACAGCATGTGATTCAAAGTGAGTTTCTTCAGAATCATAGTAGGCAGCTTTCTTGAACTCTGAGGTCTTGCAGCATCACTTGTTAATTGTGAAATGACTTCCTTAAATCAGTGAATAAATCAGATTCTCATTCTCTCTGCGATTTTATTTTGGGTACATTTTGGCACAACATTACCCCTGAGCTCTGTGCTCAGTGATAAAGCACAGGACTAATGAGATACAGGTTCAGGTAGGCTCCTTCAACTTCTATTCCAGACAGATCTCTGACTTTGCCAGTCAAGGACAGCTCACATTCCCTTTTGGGGACTCTCCTAGCCCCTCCCCCAGCACTGTGCATGTTTCCCAAAGTGGTGCAGATCCCTCTCAATCAGGCAACAGGCTTATCTCCACTGCCTCTTCACCACCAGCATCACATCTGTGCCCACTTTATATCCACACCGAGTCCTGGGAGCAATGACCTTTGGCTTAGTCACTGGCAGCAAAGTGCTCAGCAGCTTCCAGCCAGAGTGCAGGCAGCACAAGCCACC